CAGATCGCTAATTTGTAATTTTTAAGCCTGAATTCGGCACTAAAACATGAAGATACTGATTCAAAACGCTTTTAATCAATTTGGGCCAAAGAAATCTCTCATGTTATCTATCTACTTCCATTGCATTCTCCTACTGCATTCGATTGCATAACAGTCATTTTACACCGTTTACTGTTGAATGACAGCTAGTTTTATAACAGAACCATTTTTTTCTGAAGAGCAGTCGACAGCTGGACTACTGCGATTGCAGCTCACTTAGAGTCAATATTAAAATGTTTCGTGATACATGAACTGCAGTAAGTGGCATTTTAGATACTACAATTTTTATGCAGGGCTGGGCACCACCTCAAGAGTGTCGCATAGTTACTTAGGCAACATTTCACGAATGAACGTCTTATAGGCCAAAACTTCCCCTGTTCCCACCAGACCTCAACCTCTGTGACTTTTGTCTATGAGGTTATCTCAAAAGCACTGTTTATGGTGATAATCTAAACAATTTGGCAGAAATGAAAAATGTGATACACTGATAACATTCCTCCTGATATGCTATGTGTAACGTGTATACGAGCCAGTTTCCCTTAAAAAGTCCTCCACGAAGGCATCCCTCCCTTAAGGCAGATAGCCCTTGAGTGCTTTGCCGTAATCTAATAAACCAAACCAAAACCAAACCTGATATGCTAAGAGCTGCTGTTGAGAATGCAGTAACATGATTTAACTTGCTTTCGGAAAATGCTGGACGCTACATTGAACATGCTTTGTAACACGTTTCGGAAAATATTAAACACATTTTAAACAGATGTTTCCGTGTCTTATTTCATTTAACAATATTGTATACAGCGCCATTTTTCCCCTGATGGTGAATTTTTTAACTCTTTTTTTTTTTCCGCCGAAAATAAATTCCCATAACCTCCTTTACACGATTCCCAAGTTTGATAACATTTGGTCCGGTAGTTTTCCTTTTATGACCATTTCAAATTGAAACTTTAATTATAACCACCATGTAAATTAAAAATTAAACTTTAAAAGTTTGACAGTTTGATTCAAGTCCCAGCTTTAAAATATATATATAAATATAATCTTTTATATTAATCCTCTTAGAAAGAATGTTTTAAGAAGCTAATTTTTCTCTCACGTTATAGACTGTATAAAAAAAACATGATCTTTAGTATGATTTAGATTGTTTCAGCCGATATAAGAATTGGGTCACTCGGTGGTACAGAATAAACCCTGCTGGACTGTTGTATTTCTTTGTCATTTAGCAAAAATCTTTTAATTAAAATATTTATCCTTCGGGCTTCGCTTTAAACTTTATTTATAGCTAAAATGACTAGAAAATGACTAGAAATAGCTGAAACGCAATTCATATAATTGATATTTTAAAAAATTGACAAGAATGCAAAATGTATGGAAGTCTAGCAGTCGAAAAATCTTAATTTTCTTGGGTGAGCACTGAAAATAACTGTAGAAGGAAAGAAGAAAATTAGGGAGAAGAGTAAGCAAAAATTTGCATTGAAATTTGGCTGTCAGACATATCAAGATGTTTAAAAAAGTTGCACGCTTTTGAATATACTTTCAGGATACTTCAAAGAATTTAGGTGTTCAAAGAGAAAACACTTGGACGTGTATACCAGCAAATACCATTAATTGAGCTTGTGTTAACAGAAAAGACAAAAATGATATCATTGCAGATTAAAGTGAAGAGTGACTGGTTTTAGACTATATGGTTGTATAAATTTAAATTATGTTATAAAACATCATATCGTATCATAAATGGAGAATCCCATGATTTTCTCAGTCGAATTATTTGAAGATTCAGGAGTTTATCCAGTGATGTATGTGGATGTTACCTAAAGATGTTTTTTTTCCCTTTCTGATGAAACAGCGGCCGAGCGGTAAAGTCGCTGAACACTGGTAGTTCGGTCCGAGGTTCGAATCCCGCGAACGGGCTTGCTGCATGGGCGTTTTCGTGGTTTTCCCCATGTGTAACGTGTATGCGAGCCAGTTTCCCTTAGAAAGTCCTCCAGGAAGGCATCCCTCCCCTTACGCAGATAGCCGTAGTGTGCTTTGTCATAATAAACCTCAACCTTTTGATGAAACCCAGTCTTTCCTTTCATCTCATACCTTCAAAATGTTTAGCCTCTAAAGACTGATAAAGGCTCTGACAAAATACTTCGTGAAGAACTTTCTAAGGGAAACCAGCTGTCATACGTGGTACACATGAGAAAATCCACGAAAACGCCCATGCAACCAGCCCGTTTACCGGGGTTCGAACCCTGGAGTGAACTACCAGTGTTCAGCAACTTTACCGCTCGGCCATTTGTGGGCCTTTATGAAATGGAAGGCGATAACTTTATTTAAAATGATTGTCAGAAATACCAAAATGTTTCGAAAAGTTGGATACTTTTCAATATACTTTCAGAATGCTTAAAGAAAAAGAGAAGAAAAATAAATTTTTTCGTAAAATTTAGTATTCGTATTTTTTTTAAATTTAAAACTTTTCAATCTTATGATATTTGATTCTTGCGAGTTTCAAAAATAAAATATTTGACTTTAAAATATGAATAACATTTTAAGAAACCAAATGTAGGATAAAATTGGTGGTAAAGCAATGTGCACAATGATAAAACTGTTTAAAGCAGTGTATGCAAGTCATCCTAAGTTAAAATGTCGGTTATACATCTCTCTTATTTACATATATTTTTTCTGAACGGAACATTGAAAGGCGTGTAAAACTGTGCTTTACTAAAACTTGATTTTTCTCTTTAATATAGTATGCAGTTTTCAAATGCATCGTAGTCTGGGTTACAAAGTATTCTTCCGAAAGAAATGCAGTTTCAAATAAATAAAATCAAATTCTGGAAAATTGATATTAATAAATATATTTAAAATGCTCAGTTCGAAGGAATAAATAGAAAATTTTAAAACAATTATCTGAAGAGACAATGCAACACAAACAATTAAAATAAAAGTATAAAAATTTAAAAATGACCTAAAATAATAACTATGACGAAAAATATATATAAAGAAAACTATTTGGAAAAAAAAAACATGCAACTTATACAGTTAAAATGAAATTCGAAAAAAGAAAAAATACTTAAAATAATAAGTTATAATTAAAAATATAATATAAAGAATATTATTTGTAAAAAAGGAACGATGGTGACTTTTTTTCCTCTCACGGGAAAGGAAACTAGGTTGTCATATAATAAGAAGTTCGCCACGTAAAGTATTCTTGGCGCAAACTGACAAAAAAGTGCCAACATAAATTTGTGAATTTCTCCGTAAATTTCGCTCCAAATTTTACAAAATTTCATATTTAGGCGTAATTTGAGTCGTAGAATCGAAATATGTAAAAATATTTGTATGTTATTTCAGAAAAAGTCCGATTTTGTGTCAAAATACCTATGTTAGAATAGTGCTATATATAAATCTAATACGTATCCTAAGTCGCGACTCTCGAGACATGGAAAAACGCAATTTGAATTTTGTCAATCGGCCCAGTAGATCGGGAGATATAGGACTGTCCCATTTTTTTTTTTTTTTTTTTTGAGCAGTGTACATTTTCTTTCTATTCATACCTTTTTACTCAAACATACAAATCGCGCCAACCTGGTTGCGATAATACGTAAGTACCTAAAATTCAATTATTTTTTTTTTATGATTTATTTTTAAAGTTTGTATTTTTAAGTAATTTTTATAAATTTTTCAAAAAACATTTTGAATTATAAGCTATACAATTTTTATCATCTTCTTAAAATAGATGTATTTCTAACTATACCTGCAAAAAATTAGAGCTTTTTTTCAAAACTACCGAAGACATATGGGAATTTATATATTGGCATGTTTTGAAATTTGGCATATTTTTTTAAAGCGATAATAACATCTAATGTGGTTTACACACTTTGTTAAAACTATTTGAAAATAGGAATGGGGTGACTTTTTTTCCGCTCATGCACAATGTAGGAATGATGTGACTTTTTTTTTTTCCATTCCTGCACAATGGAAGGAAAGGGAAACAGGCTGCCATATATCAAGAAGTTCGCCAAGGGAATTATTCTTGGCTCAAACTCGGAAAAATGCACAAAGCTACATTTTTAAACTTCTCCATAAATTTCACAAAATTCAAAATTTAATATTTATGCATAATTTGAGTTGTAGAATTGAAATATGGAAAAAATTGGTATTTTATTTCAGAAAAAGACCCATTTTGTGTCAAAATACCTATGTTAAAACAATGCTATATATAAATCTAATATATTTCCTTTGTCGTGCTTTCGAGACATGGAAAATGCAATTAGAATTTAGTCAATTGGCCCAGTAGAACAGGAGATATAGAACTGTCCTTTTTTTGTGTGTGTGCAGTGTACAACTTAAGAGTAAGTAGTATAAACAATCTGGTTTCTAAATGATGAAAAATGTATCACTTTCACCGATAATATAATTTTTGAATGTAAAATCAGATGCAGTAGAACTCTTGAAATCTAGTTATAGGTCACTTTTGTATGTTTGATATGTTGTAACTGACAATAAGTTGAACTGAATGTTAAAAGATATAATTGAAAATTATTGTTACTTTTCTTATTCATTATCATACAGGATTATTATTTTTTTAATCTCCTTTCAGTTTTAATTTTTAAAACTCTTCTACAGTAAACTTTTCTGAGGAAGGGGAGGGATAAAATTTCCAGTGAGAATTACATATACATATGTTGATTGTCTTTATTTAAAATTTCATCAGTAAAACTGCATTAATGCTTAAATTAATTAATGAAATACTGAAATATTTATCATTTTTATAAGATTTAAATTATGAAATTTTTAATTTTCTCTTATTTCTTGAAAACGTATAATAAACTTTCTGTTATTTTCTCATCACTGATTTCTAATTTATAATAAAAATCTGAATCTATTATGAATTATCTTTATAAATATTTTGTGTAATTAAAATTGAATTATATTAGGTATTGAATTTTTTTTTTCATAATGTGTCTTTTTTCCAGGTTTTGGAAAAGATGAATACATTTGATGAAAACAGAAACAGCACTCTAACATTTTCATGGAAGTCTCGTGGCGGTAGTTCCAATCAGTTTGTTCACTTTCCTTCTTCTTCATATGGAATAGATGCTAGTCAAATTTTTCAAGTATAGTTACATATAAATTATGCTTTTTGTGTTTAATTCCGTCTATAAGGAATCAAAATATTCTTTTATTCTAAATTATTATTATTTTTTTCAGTTTACTGGTTTAATAGTTTTTACTGATGCTCACATTCCTAAGCGTCAAGGTATGAAATGTTTAAAATTTACTCTATATTTTACTATTATGATATAAGCACAAATAATGTGTTAGTACTATGTAACAACTGATGTAACTATTTACACTCCTATTAAATTTCAAGATGGCTGCAGTGAAACTTCTAAATATTCAGCTTGCATGGATGGAACTTGTTATAGAAGTCAGAAACATTGTGATGGGTATCGAGATTGTGCTGATGGCTCTGATGAGAGTGGCTGTAAGTAATTAGCAATCTTATGTGAAATTAAATCTTAATTTCAGTGTTTATGTTTGGTTGCATTTTATATATTAATCTCTAAATTAGAAATAAATTTTTATAGCCTTTCTTTGATTGTAGTTCTCTTCAATTTGATATAAATTATTTTTGAAATTTTTTGAAATCCAGTTATAGATCACTTCTATGAGCATGTTTTAGTACAATAGAATCTGATATAGAACTCAGAAGAAAAGGCAGTCTTAGATGTGTTTATGAAGGAATTTTTCTGAATATGTTTTTCAAGATTACATTGTTAAATGACATTTTTGAAACACTCATAGGATTGTTGTATTACCATCAATATTAAAAAATTTTTGGCACATGTTCGGGTCTCTATTTTTATCACTTAATTTATACATACTACTGTAGCAAATTACTAAAACAAAGTTGATTCATGTTAGTCTGAAGTGTGAAGCGATAGTGTGCCTATGGCTACTGTTAAAATTCATTTATGCCTTTGTATTTTATACAAATTTCAACAAGAAAGAAATGCTACAGAAGCAAGTAGAAATTTATTGAAAGTGTTTAGTGAAGGTACAATTTCTGATAGGACATGCAAAAGATATTTAAAAAATTTTGAAACAGGTTATTTCCACCTTTCTGATAAGCCACATTCTGGGCGACCACCTTTGACTAACAACGAGGTTGTTAGATCATGTTAGAGCAAGGTCCTTTTTTGACAACATCGGAGACAGCAGAAAAACTTAATTCAGGTCAGCAAACCATTTCAGGCCATATTCTGAAGATAGGATTGGTATGGAAATATTCAAGATGCATGCCACATGAATTAAGTCAGAAGAATTTGGATGATCGAGTCATCATATACACATCTCTGCTTGCTTGGAACAAAATTGAGCCCTTCTTGAACCGGTTGATAACTGGGGATAAATAGTAGATTACCTATGAAAAGGTCATATTGTGGACCTGGAAAACCTAGCCCTTCCACCTCTTGACCAAAATTTGACTCTGAATAAGAGAATGTTGTGTATATGCTGGGACATTCGAGGACCAATACAATATGATTAAAATTTCAGATTAAAATGTTCTGTACGTGAAAAATGCCATTATTTTGTACCATAATCAAAACATAAGTAAAGCTGAAAATGAAATATAAATTGAAATTGTACTGATATATTTTTATGTTCATTAAGAAGTGAATATTTCTGATTATTTAAAAATATTTACTTTTGGCAACATTATAAAATTCGTGTAATATCTGTATGTAGTACTGGCATTATAAAATGTACAGCCTTATGAGCATATGCATAAATAAATTTCCTAGTAGCATTTTGCTCAAGGTCCAACTATATTTTATCAATATTTGGTGACATTAGTAGTGATTATTTTTCTATAAATAATATAAAACATATTGCAAAAGATTAATTAATGAATAAGATAATAAGAATTTGACCTTCACTTTTCATTCATCAAAAAGATGAGTTTATCATGATAAATTATATTATTTTGATGGGTAGTAATCTAAACAGGTTATTAAGGGAATAGAATCTAACATATTTTAGTTAAAAAAATAAACTTCATATTGCAGCATATGCCTTCTGAATACTCTTGCTTCCTATTCACTTATATCTGTTTTTAACGTGCTTCAGTTTTCAATATCTGATGAAAAGGAAATTTAGCTCATAATTATTTCTCTATTTCTCTTAAAACAAATCAGCTATATATTGAAAAATACCCATTTACCAATTCCCAATGCTTGAAGATTATATCAAACCAAATCGTATATGTTTTGATTTTTCTGTTCTCTTAAACTGTCCTACAAACTATTCTACAGCCCTTCAAATTTTAATATAATTTTGACTCTGCAATAAAAACAAGATAAAGAATGGAAAAAGTTATTCTTTGTATTATGGGATTTACATTATGGTGTACATTAAATATGATTCATTTAATCCTTATTAAATACTAAAATTCCTCCCATTTTAAATTTAGGATTTGATATTAAAATAGGAGTGATGATAAAATATTTAAAATATTTGTATTTCATATTCTTGTATGTAACTTCTGATAATGATGTAATATGTTTTATTTATGCAATATGTTATTATTGTCATGCTACCCATTTGGGACCTTCATGCTCAGTCTTTTGCAGAGCTGCTAGTCGTAAGTAAAAAAAAAAAATTAATAATGTTACATTGTTTTGGAAATGCATTAATAGTTTAAATTATAATTATTAACTTTTACTCTATTAGGTCCTCCTCAAAATCAGATAAACATTCCTGAGTTTCAGCGTACAAGAATTAACAGGATTAAAAAAATGTATGATAATACTTGGATGTGGAGGGATGTAAACATAGGGTATGCTTTTTGTTGTGCATATATATATGTGTGTGTGTGTGTGTGTGTAAAAACAGTTTCTATTCTATTTCACAGAAATTCATAATGCACTGTCTAGCTTACTATTATCATAATCTTTTCTTAATTTTTATCCTTCAGATAACTTCCAATTAAATTTTAAAATTAAAATTCAGGAGGTAAACAAGTCATTAGTTTTGTGTTAGGAAGGACCTTTTTTTTTTAAACTTAGAAAAATTTGTTTTCAATCATTTATATTATTTTTTGTGTGGTAATTTTAGCTAACTACTAACAACCTTTATGCTTCATCTCCATGCTTCTATAGTAATCTCCTCTCACCAATAAAGGAAAACTGGTTTAACTTATTCTTTCTCTTGTTGTGTTTAATGATTTAATTAGCAACTTTTGTTATTAATTTCATATGATGTAAAAATATATATATAATTTTAATAGAATTAATGCTAGTTATACAATTTTTGTTTTGTTTTTGGCAGACCACTTGGGCATTACATATTCAATATACCTGTTCCTGCTGCACCTACATCATGGATAATTACTGCATTTGGAATGAATAGTGCTAATGGATTTGGTTTACTTCAAAGTCCTGTACAGGTACTTAATAATCAGTGGGCTAGTACCGTTTGAAACCATTTGGCTAAAATTTTAGTGCTTTATATTTTTTAATATTTTTATTTTATAAATTTATATATTGCCATTTTCTGTAATTTAATAAAAGAGAAAGTATAGTAAAGTATGTCCAGTATCCATGTAAATAAATTTATTTATAAGTCCTTATACTTTTTTAATTGTTATTATCATACTTTAGTTGTAAACAAGCTAAAATTTTCTTCTTATAATGTTGTTACAGAGAAATATTTCCCAATCTTTTCTGTGCATCCACAAGTGTTTGATTAATGTTTATGCCAATTTCAAATGTTATATCTCTGATACAAAATAAATTTATACCTATAAAGTACAGCGTGTATAGCATATTGTCTAAGGCCACAAACCATTCCTTGTTGCACTCCTTCAAATTTCATCTTGCATCCCAGTCACTGCTGTAGAAATGTTTGGTAAAGTAAAGTAAAGGTTTCCAGATTCAATGTTTTTAAGTGTAGAGAATCCAAAAAATTAAAAGTGATCACTGTGATTCACCCATCTACCTCTTAAAAGACCTTTGAAAAAAGGATTGAACAAATAATTTTTTCCTAATTGAACAAATTTAAAAGACAATGCATTATCACCCACCACATTTTAGTTCTGTTCATTTAGTTCTATTCATTTTAGATACATTTGTAGACACAGGAACCACGAAAAATTTGGCTGTGCCTGCTGAATTCACTGAAATTTCAGTTCTGAATCTTCCGACTGCTATTGGACATGCTATATGAGTCTCTTGGTAGAACGTGATAATTCCTTGTAATTCTATTTCAGTGTTCTGCAATCTCAGTGAATTTGATGCTAATAACTAAAAGGAAAGTTTTTGTTTTGGGAATTTTTGCTTTATATTACAACTTTCTTTTCCAAGAAAAAATATTAATGAAAGTAAACAATAAAATTTAAGAACAATATTATTAAAGTGGCTTAATATTTTAACATAGAAGAATGTTTAAATTTATTTATAATTTTTTCCTATGAGATTCCCTTGCTGTGTATATGTTGCAAATATCTGCATATACTTTAGTATTTATAGAGATTAAATACTATTGTGATTCTCTTTTACAGTTTTCTTTCACCAAACCTTTTTCTATGGTAGTTGAAATGCCTTCTAAATGCAATTTTGGAGAACAGATAGGAATTAGAATCACTATCTTCAACTACTTTCATCTTGAAATAGAAGTATGTGCATAAAATTAAACTGTTCTGTTTGTTTTTATATTTAAATATTATTTCATTCAAAGATTTTATTTAGTTTTAATTATACTGAAAACCAGGTTCATCATCATGATCCAGGGCTGGGAAAAGTGTATTTCCAAAACATATTCTGTCTTTATTTTTAATGCAAAATTCAGATAATTCACCTATTTATTTATTATATTTTTTTTTAACTGAAAAATATGATATTTTCTTATTTTTATTCTCTAATATCTTTTTATTGAAAATCGTAAATTCTATTTATATTTAGAGAGAATCATGAAATTCTCAGGATCAAGTATTGGAAAATCAATTAAAAAAAAGTATTTCCAAAATAAAACTTACAATATTGTAAATTTACAATATTATTTTTAGTAAAAAATATGAGCTATTTTTAATATATTCTCATTATAAAGTACACTTATGCTTAAAAATATTTCATGAAAACTCAAAATATATTTCTTTGCTACTAATAGTGAATTAATTCAAGTATTTAAAATAAGTATAAAGATAATACATGATACTGTGGAAGGTAATGTGTAAATCAGTTAAATTATACACATTTAGGCAATTATATAATTTCAATCCAAATAAATTGTCCTTATTTATGGCAATTTTTTCCTTTAAATTCCTTGTTTGTTAATTGGAATTACTTTTAAGTCAAACTTACCAATTTGGACTTAATTTTCCATTTATGTAATTCCTCAATTTTCTGTTAATTCTACTACATACAAATCATAAATGTTAAAGGTTTGTTTGCTCTACATTTAAACATCATCTTCCACAGTATCATGTATTGTTTCAACATCTTTGTAACACAGTATCCACAGTATCATAACATAATAACACAGTATCATATATCATGTATTTTTCAACGTTTCTTGTTTCAGCGTCTTTAATGAGTTAATTATAGAGAATTATTTCTGTAGTATGGTATTACAGTCAAAAGTCGTTAATTTGGACACCCATAATCCAGATCTCAAAGCTAAAAACTTTCTGCGCATGCGCCGAGTTGACACATGCGCATAGGCGTTTACGCGTGTGCGTAAGACCTTTACGACTGCGCATATGTGTGTGCGCAAGCACGGAATGCGTTTTCGCTTGCTCGTTTTATGTATAACGGACCGTATAAGCTAAAATTATCTATTTCAGTTAATGTTGATGATTGCGTTGTTCCTTAATCTTTGAATTATTTCCGGCTTATTATTTTTTGCAGACTGTAAGAGCAATTTTATAAAAGTAAACTTGAACTTTCGATTATGTCAAATAGAATTTACGATACTGGAGCTCCCAAAGGATCTACAAAACAAAAGTATGTTCCAATGTCCATCAAACAAAAAGTGGAATTGCTGCAAAAAATGGATAAAGACATGAAGAAGGTGACAGAGAGGTTAGTGAAAACGAAAAAATTTCGTTTGACAAGTTAGTTGGTATTCTCGGCACAGCAATTACGGAACTTGAACAGCAGAACTTTGTAATTGAACAAGAAATTATGTCTCTCTATAGAATTAAAGAGAAAGTATTATCTCATAAAACGAAGCAACTTAAACAACTTACATTGAAAGAAATGTTTAATAAAGTAAACAAATAAATATTAAGCTTTTTTTTTCTAAATTTTGATACCCTTTATATCATAATTGTTCTTTATTTCATAAATTACGGTTTCATATTTTTAATTTTAGAATTTCTGCATGCCATCTTACGAGATTTAAACTGATGATCTATAATCCGGAAAAATCGATAATCCGGAATCGCTGAAGTCCCGACAAGTCTGGATTAACGACTTTTGACTGTATTAATTTATATTTATTTTTTTAATTGCTACACTAACAACTGACTCAGTTTTCTACAGTATGCTGTTTACAAGCAGTTTTCTCATTTATTTGTATATATATGCAATAGGTTTATATGCATTCTTTATCTTTTAAGTAATACATAATTTGACTTTTTTTCATATTTGTAGACTTTCATTAAATATCTATTGTGATATCTTTCCCTTCCCTTTCTTTCTTCTCCTTTCTCTCTCCTTCCCCCCCTCCAAAGAAAGGTTTGATACTTTTCCATTAATTCCAGTTTTTAGAGAGGTACATGATTATGTATGTATATGTACATTTATTTAAAATTTTTATGTGTTCATTTAAATGTACTATTAAAACACTGAGAATTATAACATCTAGTGCAGGCTGTAAGGAAAAGTATTTCTTTATCTAACATTAAAAAAACTACTGATCTTGAGTGTGAAAACAAAGTTGATAATTTCAGAGACAATAAAATTAATCAATAAGGTAAATGTTTAAAATGCTTGCACAAGAATAACACAGTCCTGTTAGGCATAATTATCAGTTTAACCTTTTAGGTTGTGGTGCATGTTGCAGGAAGGTTTTGAAATGGCACACAAGTTTGTCTGAGCCCACTAATCTTAAACTCTTTTGACATATGTTGCACTGAGTTACATTAAGCAAAAGTGCCAAATTCAGCTAACAAAAACCATCTCTCCTAAATTCCAACCATCATTTGATAAAATTTTCTGAAATCTTGGGTTCACCAGCAGCTGAATGTAAAATCACTGAACACTGATAAGTTTAGTGCATTTAAATCATGGTGAGTGAGCTGGCTGCATGGGCATTTTCATGGTTTCCCTCATGTATAGTGTATATATGACCCAGTTTACGTTAGAAAGTTTGCTGCAAAGGCATCTATTGCCTTAGGTAGATGGTCTTTGAGTGTTTTGTCATAATTAAATAAATCAATTATATAAATGCTTTGTCATAATTAAATAAATGCTTTTTTGAAATCTGTCATTTCAAGAATTCAGAAATTTAATTTTGAGTTCAATTTTGTAATCTACTAATCTAAAATATATTAATATAATTTTTCTTGATCTTTATTAACTGTGATTAAAATCTTTGAAGACTGTCACACTCCTGTATTAGTCATATAAAACAAGCCTAGTAGTAGTAATTTAGGAGTCATAAAGCCTGTGCTCATATTTGGTTTATCTGATATCTGAACTGATAATCTTATAAATTTGCAAACATGTGAATATTCACCATTTCTAATCAAAATTATGCCACATTATTATAATGAATCAAATTTAATATGAAATGTGGGAAAGATTAAACCCATGAAAACTTCTGATACAAGAATGTATGAAGAATTTTTAAACACATTTTAGAAACCTTAAGCAGAATTATTGCTAATTATGATAAATTTAAAAGACACAATTACATATATCCTCCAAAATTTGCTGGAACTTTGAAACTTTTCAGATTGTATAAAAACGTGTAAACAAATTGCAATAAGAAGTCTGTATTACTGGAAAAAAAAAATAGAAGTCAGGTTAACAATCAAATATTTTAACGGGGGAGGGTTTGATTTTGAAATTCCTAAATCACTGTACATAGTGTTTTTTGATGCTGGTAAGAGTTAAAACAGATCATGCATCTGTATCTAAAGGTAGCTCAAATTATGGCATTATTTTAAAAAATTATAATGAAAAACAAATCAGTTTGGAATTCAAAATATAGTAAACTGAAAAAGTGATAGTGTGGGTTGCATGGGATATATGTAGATGAATTAGAAAAAGTAAATGATAGGAAAATACAAGCCACATTTTCACTATAGTTTTCATATTATGAAGAAAATACAGTGAAACTTCTATACAGCACATTTTTTAAGAAGTTATTGAATTATTTTTTATTCATTGGCCTCAAATTTTCATTAAATTCTCAGCCTGTAGAAATGGAATAAATTAATATAAAAGTAATTATGTAATTTGTGTTGGTTCATTGTACTTTGTTTACTTCTGTTAATGATTTCTTGGTTGAAGCAGGTTCTGCTTTTATAAAGGTATACTTAACAAACACTGTAGCGTTATGTTAGTTCCCTTTTGTTCAGGGCATTTCTGACTTACAATACAGTTACTTTCCCTTGTAAAAAACGCTCCTGAACTCTACTAGAAAGACCTATGATGCTCTTGACTAGAGAGAACGTCGTTAGCAAACTCCTCACACTACGAGTACTATAATTCATTTTAACACCTTATTTAAAGAACTGTGAATGGCAACGACTTAACTGAGGAATACGCATGCATAAAGAGATGAGATTTCTGTGAGACGCCTGTCAGAGAGAGTTTTGGGAAGCTCCGCCAGCGAGCTGAGGTGTGGAGACTTTGTTCTTCGAGTGATGACGAGTACCATCTTTTGTTAACGTCTCTGATCGTGTCACCAGCTCGGATATCTACTAAAGTTTTTTAAATGTATTAATGTTGTATCTGTGATATGTTGTGTGATTAAAAAGTGATGCATCACCAATACCAGTGTTGATTCCGTTCCCACTGAAGCATCCACGATGTCACACCCTCATCTTTGGGAAGTATGTTATATTAGTATGTGATTTTTTTTATCATGGAAAGTGTAGTATTTTTTTTAATGTACAGTATAGTATGTATAGTATGTAATGTTGTAATGTGTTTTGAAATAAAATATGGTGCAAGAAAAAATAAAATTTCCTCACTAATAAATAAATAAATAAATAAATATTTCAATAAATTATAATTCAGGGTATAGTTCAATAATATACATAAATATATAATTTAACAAATATGTAATTTACTAGCAGAAAAGAACATCCAGTTATCTAGATTTTTAAAATATCCAGATAGGCTGCTTTTGCATATAATCCAGCCATCCAGAGTTCTTTTGAATATCTTATTAATGTGTACTATTTTGGATGAAATACAACTGTGTTTCAAACATACAATATAAAACTCAAAGTATGATTTCAATATAAGGTACTAAATGGGAAATACATGCTTTCTGATATATCCAGCTTGATCCTATATATGAAAAATTAAATTTTGTTAAAAAGTTATTTGTTAAGAAAAATATTTTTATTATCTCAATATAAGAAATAATCACTTTAAAATCACTTTTAGGCTGTTATAGTCTTAGGAATCTCACCACATTATAAGTTTGTCCATGTTGAACCATTTGGTGATGTTAAATCTTATGACCCACGGACATCATCTGAGGAGCATCATCATCTAATTTTTGTAAGTAATTTTATTTTTTTACTAATAATACATAAATGCATTTTTTCATTTAGATTATCTGGTTTGTATACTTTTGTTGATTAAGAACTATAGTTACTACATCTAATAATTTGGTAGTATATATAAGAAGGAATACAAAAGACATAAGAACATTTTTATAATGCAAACAAAAATGTAGACCTATTTTAATTATGCTTATGAATATAGAATTTTAGTCTTGCATTGGTACTGATTTTGTGAGCATATCATTATTAGAAAATGATAGCCATAAAAATATGCGCATCGACTCACATTAAATAATAAATAAGTAATATTAGTATGACACTAATATTGAGGAGTAAAATTAATCTGGATATTGAAAACCATACTAGATGTTGAATTCTGCACAGATAAATAACAGTTAATTTATAGTTTCTTTACAAAATTAAATTGGGTTATCAAGAATTAATCGGTATACATAAAAATAATGTGAAGATCTAATGATTGTGTTGTGACATTACGCTTTTACATTATTAGAGCTAAATCACATTATTTGGTGTCAGTGTTTGTTGAAAATGGTTGATAGGAAAGTATGTTAAATACTAAATTTTTTAAACAGTTATAAGACTTTAGCCCAAAATTTATTCAGTATATCTTGGAAGGCTTGTCACTCTAGAGTCCCCCCCCCAATTAAGTGTACTGGCGAGCCTAGTGATCGTTTTAGACAAACTAAAAGCTATTGTGAGCATTGAAATCTTTCATATGCTCTTATGCCATTGTAAGAAAGAGTTTCTGATAGTAGTTCCCATTGGAAGTTCGTAGCTAGTAACTCTGCCCTTTTCTTTCTATGAGGTATATCCTGTTCAGAGGCTGAATTCTTGGAACAACAAAATAGATACAATGATAGGGTAAGTGTGTCTTCTGAAAGAGAGCTGTGTAATTCTATTCACATTTTAGAAGTTATCAGCTTGATTTTGAGAGTCCTGTACATGCTTTTTGATGCCTCCCCCCCACATATACAGCCATGGTATTTATCAACTTGTTGAATATAATATCTTGCATTATTAAGTAATATCATCCTTTATATTATAATAATTCAATATATTATATTATAATCAGTCATATATTATAATGAATATTGAATCATTATATTATAATAATAAATATATAATTATAATCTAATATTATTAAATAATTATCTTATTGAAATATTTTATTTTAATTAAATTGAGATATGAGTATGTTAGATAATGTTTATCTAGAACTTTGAATGCAATGGAATTCAAATTGCATTAATTAGAATAGAAAATGTCTATGATATAGCTTCATTACATATTCAGTTTTTAAATTTTAAAATGGAAAATCTTGTGCTTTGTTAAAGGAGATGTAGTGACTTATTGTGATTAGATAATTAAATGCGCATTGAAGGTGCTCTCTTAGACCTTTATCTTGATTTAGATAATTTTGATAGGACTTTTATCTTGCTATAATCTGCTATATATATATATTTTGTAAAAAGATGCAATATTTACTATCATATTGTCATAATATTACATAATAAAAGTAAATATTATTACCTATAATTGCTATAGTTATTGCATTGTTAGTAAATTGCTTTCCTTTAGTTTCTTATTTATAATCTATGCAATTAAGAACCTTATCATTTCAAATTAGAATTTAAAAATTATTATTATTATTATTATTATTTTGGTCCTGAAGAAGAAGAACCTGTATCTGTACCTCATAATAAGTAGAGTTTTATTCAAAGTCTATACCAAATTAAATGTTCTTACTAATCTAAAACCTATCATTCATTTATTTAGATAAAGTCTGGGAAATCTGCAGTTGTTTACATGCCAATTGTTGCAACTATTATTGGTGTTGCGAATGTCACAATTATGGCCAAGTCACAGATTGCTAAAGAAATTGAAACTAGGACTTTGACTATAGAGGTAACAAGTTCATATTACTATTATTTAGACTATTTTGTTATATAAGCATATTCTATACATATACAAAATTTGTGTATTTGTGATTTCCCAAAATTTTTGCTGCTTCATCATTTTCTTGTGCTACTTTTTGTGACATTAAATGATTGTTAGTATATCATAAAACGCTTATGTGTTAAAATAATATATCTATTAAAATTAATTTGTAATAAAAAACATTATTTAGGCTTAAATAGAAGCTGGCATCTGGCAAACCTGATATCATAGAGCAGGTGCAAACAATTTTCAGTGCTAGTTACTGGTATTTTCATGGTTTGATTGATTGTTTTGTTTAATCTTTTAATGATCAGTGAGTGGACATGCAAAATTTGTCTGATTATAGCTGTTGTTTTAACTAATGCATTAATGAGTACTGTGAAAAAATTAAACACCCACTTTCAAAATGCTTGGGAACTGGCTCAAAAAAATGAAAATGGACAAGATTAAAGCTTTTTTGCAAGTTGCATAAATGTGAACTGAGAGCATACAAAGTTGACTTAATAAAACATGGTACTTCTTTATAGCATAACCAAAACTCTCAACAAATCCTGCACAGAGTAGTACAAAAACATAATTTGAAAACATGAGCAATGAGTTTCAATTGAAACTTTCTGTATTTGTTGCTTGTTATCCATTCATATGGTCTACTGACTATTTAAATAAAATTTTTAAGAAAGAAATGCCGTCAAATTTGTTCTGATACTTACACAGGGACAAAATGAATCGCATTGATAAAGAAAGCTATTTTACCTCAATTCCTCAAAGAACAAGTAATTGAAATTTATAAATTCTCATTTTTTCTCACATTTGATGAGTCTACAGATGAATCATGTTGCAAATCTCTATGTTTATGTCTGCTATTTGAATGAAAGAGAAAATAAAATAACAATACAGTTTTTAGGATGCGCTGAAGTTGTAGAGACTACTGGCAATGTGTTGTATATCATGTACAAGATTTTTTCGATAAAATTAGTGTTTATTTAAAACATTGCTTTGCTCTTGGGACTGATAGAGCATTTAATCTATTCCAGTACAGCATTTACTTTTTACATTATTAAAGATGATATCTCAAAATTGTTATTAATTAAATGCATCTGCCACTCTCTGTACTTGGCTGGTTCACATGCATTCAAAGAATTATTATCTAATCTAGATTGCATGATTAGAGAAACTTTTAATTAGGGTCACCTGTCTGCTTTAAGAAAGCTGTCTTATGCAGATTTATATAAGAGAATAAATGATGGAAAGGATTCACTTCAGTTAATTTCCATCTCTGCACGCAAAATACTAGTGAGGAGCAAATGCATTAAAATAATTCTTGATGAAAGGGAGTCTTTAAAACTTACTTTCCAGATTGCTTCATCAGTATGTACTGAATATCTAGCTAGAGAACACCATAAAATGCATACAAATCTAACAAATGAGCTGCATTTGACATTCATAGCACCTATTTCATGATACTTTTTAGTCTAAAGAGTCGATTTACTTTTCCAATGTGACCATGTTAATCACTGTAAATTCTTCAGAGAACTTGGAGATTTTCTACACTCAAAAGAATAATTTAGCCTGAATATATAAATATCACAGCTGACATGACCTGTATGTCTATTTATTTACAAACACAAAATGTTGACTTTGGTTATTCTTTTTCATTTTGTATGGCAAATAAAGCTAATAAAATTCCAATGGAATCTCAAAATATTATTTATAAAAAATGTCATGAATTCTTAATTCCCTTGGAATTTGCAAATCAGTCTAGATTAGATATAACTGAAAGTTACTGGAGACAACCACTCAACATTAACTGCAATGGTATTTTTCTTTCTTGAATTCTGAATGATGGTTCATTATTTTGGAGTCAAGCTTTTAAAATTAAAGATGCTCTTGGCAGTTTTGTTTTAAAAGCACATAGCTGCGTTTGCTTTAGAAATTTACAGTTTATCAATAAGCAATGCTACTACTGAAAGGGTATTTTCAAAAGAGTCATTTTGACCAAAACCAAACTTCGAAATAGAATGTGTTTGGAACTCCTTGATTCCATACTTTGAATAAAGATGTAATTGGAACAAAAGGAAATCTTCTGTGTTTCTTTGTACCTCCATAACTTATGTTTACATATGGCTCAGATATATATATAAAGAGAAAGAAATGAATAGGATAAATGAACAAGATAAACGAACAGAAAATGAATAGGATGATAAAGAGTTATTAAACCCAATTTTCTTTTAAGTGATTGTATTAAAAATGAATTTTTATATGAATTTTATATGATTATATGATTTTTATATAATAGCAGATTAGCCAAATATGTTACGATAATATATTGTGTAATATATTTTATTTTAATTTAAGTTCTAATCAATTTATTTTAAAAGGAAGGAACATTAGAGTGTATTTATTGTGTTTGTTATATAATGTATTTTATTTCAAATGTTATTTGATTAGTTTTAAAGGAAATTTTTTATAACTGATAGATACTGTCTAAGCAAAATAGAGTTTAATCTTTACAAAGTCTGTTCATAATTAGAATAATGTATCTCACTGTATAAAATTCCAAGACATCATTCTTCACACGTTTTTCTCTAATTAAAATGCTGTAAAAAATCAATATTAAGTCCAAATGCCACCTTTTATTTATTAACTTAGGATATATATTAGTATTTTTTCTCTTTTCCTTGCTAAAAAATTCTGCTTAGATAGGGAGATTATATATATATACATAAAGATGCTATATCTGATTTCAAAATTTAATACTAGGAGTATTGTTTAAAAAAACGGTATGTACTCCAGTTATTTGCCTTTTATGTAAAGAATGATTTAAAACTTTTCCTTGAACTGATTGTATTATTGATTGATATGCAAATTCTCTAAAAGCAATGGTAATAACAGCAAAATATCCCAAAAGAGTGCAAAACAGAGTTATGCACCTTAATACTAATATTGATGATTTTATTGCTCTATAAATTTTATTTTGAAGTCAGTTTTTCTACCAATTATGTGGTTATAATGAATCAGTTGATAGCTTGCATGCCATGTATTGAGTAATTAAACAGAGAAAGAAATGAAATTCATTCTCATTATTTTAATATTGTTAAGAACTAAACAATCAAAATGACTCAAAAATCAAAGCAATGTCAGTTTTCTAAATATCAACACAATGAAATTTAACAGGGAGAGAGCAGGGTTTTTGTTAATAATATAAATCTGATTTAGTCCACCTAGCAGATGGAAAATTCATCAAAAAGCATTAACAGTTAAAATACAGTAATATACAATGAATTTTAAAAAATGAACTGCCAACTCAAAAAAATTAGCAGAAAAGTGGTTACAATCCAAATGTGGTGAAGCACTTAGTAATGGATGTGAACAAATTAAATTTTAAATAAAAACCTAATTTAACTGAGATTTAGTAAAATGAAGAAACATGTATTTAAATAATGGCAAATTAGCTATTTAGTTTTAAAATATTCATCAAAACTAAAGTACATAATTACACTCATGTCCATAAATTAAGGATAATGCAAAATCAGTCAAAAGAAGGAGTTAGAAGCAAAACAAATTTGACTTATTTGTAAAGCTTATTTATTAAACAAAAGGTAAAGAGCAAAAAAAGATGCTATATGTTTGATATTATTAAAAAAATTAGCGATTTTTTCTACCTGGAGCAAATTAACAAAAAAAAAAACCTATTTACAAAAAACCAATGTTACATGGTTGGTATGATTGTTAATACATTGTATGTCTCCCAGACGATGCAATACAGTCCGTACAACGCCTAGGCATGCTGAGTACCAAATTATCGATCTGATCTTGGGGGATATTACACCACTCAAAAAACAATGCTCTCCGAAGTGCCGGTAGATATGTAGGAGGAGGTTGATGGGCTGCAACTCATCGGCCAAGTATGTCCCACACGTGCTCTACCATATTCAAGTCAGGTGAGAATGCTGGCCAGTCCATACGGGTGATATCCTCCGATTGAAGGCATTCGCTTATGATGTTTGCACGGTGAGGATGGGCGTTGTCATCCATAAACACAAATTGTGCGCCCATGGCACCCCGAAACAAACGTACATGTTGTTCCAGAATGACGTCCCGATAGATTTGGCTTGTCATGGTTCCAATTTGAACATGCAGGTCAGTTCTGGAACCCAGAATAATTCCACCCCAAACGAGCACTCCTGCACCACCGTAACGGTGTGTTTCAATGATATTTTCTTGGTGGTAACGGGTACCTGGAGCTCTCCATATGAAAGTACGGTGAGAATTAGACTAAAAGCTAAACCTGGACTCGTCGGAAAACATCACACAAGCCCATTGTTGCAGTGTCCACAATGCATGCTGTCTACTCCAGGCTAACCGCAGGCGACAGTGAATAATGGTAAGTGGAATGCATCTGACAGGTAGGTCTACAAGCATATATACCAATCTGCCCTAAACGTCTGTACACGTTCTGCCTCGAAATTGTCGTACCAGTGGCTGAAGAGAGCTGACGAGACAGGTCTGAGGCTGTGCTCTGCCTGTTTCTTTTGACAGTAACTGCCAAATACCGGTCCTCAGTCGGCGTTGTAACTCTGGGGCGACCTGTACTGTAACGTCTACTCACATTACCATCATCTTGGAATCGTTGCCAAAACCTGGAGATGACACTCTGGGTAATTCCAAGTTCGTCTGATTCCCACATTCCAGACGGCCGATAATTCTAAAACATAAAAAATTATCCAAATGCATCCTTTGTGTCATAACTATTCAGTTATTGCACTGAAATGCTTATAAAGTGCCTGCGAACAATTTTACTTCTTTGCCTGTATTCCTTATATATCACTCTCTTACACTCTCGTCATTGTGACGTACCATCGGTGTCATCTGGTTACTTCCTGAAATTTGCATATGATTCTTGAAGATCTGTGTAGTGATTTTACAGGTGATATATTTATTTTAGAGTTTGATTTCCGCGACTCTGAATTATCCTTAATTTATGGACATGAGTGTAAAATGACTAAGAATTGAATTACAGTCCGTAACTTATGAAACCAATGGACATTGTATTTGGAATGACATCAGAGGTCATGTGAATATACGTAACTATGACCTCACAAAAATTCCAATTCTGATGTCATGTGCTACTTTTTGCAACTTTTTTACTCTTCTGCTATTTTAGTTGAAAATTTTCTGGCAACACTGATTACATGTTAAAATTATTAAAATTAAAAATATGAAATGATACTTGTGAAACAATAAAGCAGTTATGATTTTAAGAGCTTCAAAATTTATGTGGGGGGACTCTCAAATATTAGCACTTGTTTTGTTTCATTAAAAAAAGTGCTTTTTTATATATATATATAAGTTGCTTATGCAAGTTTTATTGTATGTTAACATTTTCTGTTTAATTTAATACTTCTCTGCCTATGCTTATGCAAGCATTTTTAAAAAATTGTGCACTGTCATTCTTTCTTCCCAGTTGTGTCAACCAAAGAAAGCCAGTGTGTGAAATATTATGCTCCAAACAACCATTGGTCTTTGTGGTTCACTCCTTGGTTACTGGGCCAGATAACATAGAAATATGCTGTTCTCCCCTCCCTGCATTCATTCATAAAAGCTGAAAATGAAATCTTAGCAGGGTAGTTTTGTAGGTGTTAAAGGCTAAGAATGAACACGTAGGAAGGTTCAATATCATAGTGAGTAATGATACTTTTCAGGAGGGGGGGGGGTATGACCTCAGCTAATCAGAAAGAAAATCAGCTTATGGTTCTCTTACTTTTGCCTGAATATAATATTATCCATTTTTACACTGTGTGAGAAAAAGGAAAAATTTAATGGAAGATCCAGATAATAGATTGCTTCAGTTACAGAATGTCTGGATTTTAGACTTTTCACTGTTCATTAATTGACAGTTCTGAAAATCTATTTTTAATTCTATATCTTATTTGTGTGTATGTGTTTGTGTATATATGTGTGTATAGATTCTGATGTATATAACAATGCATTTTTATATTTATTTCTTTTCAAAACTATACATTTGTTAGTTTTCATAATTATTTTTATATTTGTTTATAAAAATATAATTTTCTGTTCGTTTCTTGTATTGTATGAAATTCAGTACTGTTGCATTCTTGTTAACAACTTTAGTTTAAGTTTTTAACATTCAACTGCAGTTTAAATAACTGCTGTTAATGCAACTGCAGTTTAAATTGTTAACATAATACTGTTTGAAGTACTGTTGATAGTATTGTATTCTTAAACTTTTCAAATTATAATGTAGCAAACTATACAAGAATATATAAATAGCTAATGAAGAATATGTATTTAGCATCTGTTTCTTCACCACACGGTTTTTATGAAATTGGATAGGTCACAATATTAAATGTTTTAATAATTTAACTTATTTGAATATCTTATTTAAAATGTTTTGCTCCGTACATCAAATAAAATATATATGTGTTCAAATATTTTATTTTATTTTTTGATTGGTAGGAACAGCTCCAAAATGTGATGTCTAAGTTTTTTCCCTCTGCATTATCTAAAATAACTGAATAAAAGTGCTTTGTATACTCATGATTAAAAATATACACCGTTATATACTCATGATAAAAAAAAAAAAAAAAAAAAAAAAAAAAAAACATTTTTTTTTTGGATATTTTTAGGCTCCAGGAATACCACAGTATAGACACACAAGTTTTTTACTAGATTTAACTCAAGGAGCATATTTAATGAAATATTTAGATACAAATGTTACAGAGTCACCAATTGTGCCTTACCGTGATGACCGCCTATATATTTTTGGATCTAATAAAGCTACTGTATCTGTAACAGGTAATCTTTCTGCCTATTCCTAGAATTATTTTTGAATTTGTTAAAAACTTGGATATGTTTATAAATAATATTTGCGTTTTAAACTCAGTATATATGTAATGCAATTTAAAAGTATTAATGATGTATTTTCAGTCTCTTTAGAATAATTTTCACATGATTAAGTATCTAATATAGTAATAATAGTAATAATATCAGTTTTGTTGAGCTTTTCTCCTTCTCCCCAATCTTGTTTATTTATTTTATTTTTTTTTTTTTTTTCCACATGAAGCTAGATGAGGATATATGCATTTAAAATATACGTAGAGTTGCTTCTTAATGAACATGTGTGTTTTTACTGACCTCAGACTACACCTGTTGCAGTGCATAATACAATTGCAACTAAAATCAGTAAAGTTATTTATTATTTAGTTTGGTTAGATGTTTAATTAAGGTTAGTGAAACATTCCTGGGCTATCTGCCTAAGAAGAGAAATGTTGTCATAAATCACTTCTTAAAGAGTTTTCTTACATTTCTTTTACACATGACGAAAACTGTTAAAAATACTTAGAATTAATTATTCAGCTGTCGGAAAGTGAATGTGGTGCAAGGTAATTGATCACTAATTGACCTCAGTATTAACTTAACCCTTTGTTGCTCAGTGTTCTACTACATGGAACACCCATCTTGAATCACTTCTGAAACCGTTAAATTCAACCATAAATGGATAAAATGCATTTATAACATACTTTGAACTTCTCTTTTTAAATAGTAGATTGCAGCATATCACAAGGAGACCCAGAATTTTCATTTATGATGTGTTATTAAAATCCACTTATTTTTCTAGTAATTTTCTAATTTTTTTTTTTTCTGTGATACAAAGAAATTAGTTTGAAAAAAAATTTCTGTATAATTTTGATGGCTATACTCTATATTATTTGTTATATAATTTTTTACATTTTTCATATCAGAAGCATGCACTGAATCATTGAATAAAAACAAGGTGTTCCATTATCGGGAACACTGCACCTTTAGCGATCTCATGCTATTATGCATCAGAACATCTGTTTTAGGAGAAGACATCTGTTGTATATGTTTTCTATTTCCGTTGTTTTGGGGGAATGAATTCAAACGAAGCAGTCTTGAGAGGTGAGGTGTGGTTTGTGCTATGAAAGCCCTAATATAGGCATCTTGAAATCTCTGTGAGTAGTTTTGAGGCAGGAATTTTATCAGTAGCTCGAGTCAGCTGCGTGAATTTTTTGCTGTCGCTTTTTAGTTCATTTCCGTTTATTTTCAATAATTGTGTAGATATTTTTTGTGTATGTATATCTTATAGCTTATTTTTCTTTATTATTAATATTAATTGTAGTTAATTTTTTTTATTATTAATTTTCCATAAATGGCGCAGAGAGGTCTAACTCTTTTCGAAGCTCTAAAAATGTTATGTGAATTACCCTCTGATTCTGAATCAGAGCATGAAGACAGCAGCGATACTGAGATATATGCTCCTGAACCACTTGTTTAATTCGATGATGATATGTCCGGATGAAACTTATTTATTTGATGAGAAGGTTGATGATCCATCTCACCCAGGTGCCTCTACACAATCTCAAGTTTTTAATTGGAATTCTAAACGTATTGTTGCACGGAACAGAAGCCGCACAGAACAAGTTTTTGTTTTCAAAACCTGCAAAGTTGGTTTATGCTTCTATCAAAAATGTGTGACATGCTTTGAACAATTTCACGAAGCTAAGAAATCGAAAAATGTTTAAATATTTTTGTATATAGGACTTGTGTAAATACACATATTTATCTCATTTATCCATATATATTCAAGAATGTTGTGTACATTCAGAAAACCATGTCTACAGCCATAATACAGTGTTTTCTTCATTACTATACAAAACCTTCTACTTATTTCCGTGCTTCACTGCAATGCTCGCTTAGTCGCACTTTTAAGAGCTCTATTGGCGCAGTGTTCCATGTCATGGAACACCCACCGAATTAAAACAGTAAGTGCAATTTTTTACAAAATTTTACCCGTATACTCCTTTAGGCCTAGATAGACTACATACAACTTTTTTTGTTGAAATTCCGACTTTAAAGTATAGTGCGCCATAAAGGTTAAAGGCAAACTCCTATATAAGGTATAGTCATAATTGTAAAATTCATTTATAGTTTCTTACTTATATCCATACTGTGTGATAATGAATGAAATGTCTTATCTTTTATTTTCTAATATGCAGTTAAAATGTTTTATGAATATTTTTTCTATAAAATTAAAAGTGCATGCACTGCAAGATTTAATCAGAGTTATGACATTCATATTGCAAAGTTAAAACAAATAAAAATTGTCATAACAATTTATTACTTATTATTAATAAATAAAATTGTCATAACAATTTTATTTGTTAAAACAAATAAAAATTGTCAAATTGTAATGTCATTTTTCAGAAAGTGTATACTTTTCTCACCTTATAAACAAATACTTTTTATAAGTATTAAAGTTATTTACCATCTGCAAAAATATGTAGTGTACTCATTCATTCTGATTCACTTTTCTTCATTTAGGCAATGGTACTTTTCCTTTTTCACAAAGTTCATATTTTTTAAGTATTTGAATATGAAATGATTGAATTTTATTTCATATAATTATTTAGTATGTCTGCTTGCTTATTATTTTTCTAATTTACAGCATTCCTGTTTCCATTATTAAAAACTTAATTTGATATTTACATTTGCCCATTTATGATTTTAAACTCTAGCACTATTAATTAGCAAGTGGCCATGTAATCCTATTTTCAAAAAAGGAATATTTTTTCCCTGATGTCTAACTCACACTTTGCAACCTCACTCTGTTTCCTTATATTTTTTACTTCCTTGTGCGAAGTGAAGGAAGTATTGTAATTGTAAAAAATTTCAGGTATCATGTTTCAATGAAAATATCCATCTCGATTACATCTGAATCCATATGAACTATTTTTTGTGCATAACATCTGTACATATGTATCTGCACGTATGGTATCTTATATAACTCAAAAATATTTAGCCATAGAACATTGAAATTTGGTATATGGGACTGCTATAACATCTAATTATGCACCTCTCATTTTTGTTCCAATTGGCTACACTAAATGTGTTTATATATATATATATATTAATTATAACTGCCTTCTTACCCAATATACATATATATAATGTATATCACCTTCCCACCTTCTGATCTGGCTTGGTGAGCTCTGATTATTATTCTTATATGGACAGCATTTTTTGCTTTAAAAGTGATTCAATTATGTTGTTCTTGCATTCTGGTTATGGTTTTTATGCCTTTAGTTAATCTGCATGTTATAGTTGTAGCATTATTAATGATTTAAAAGTGTAAATGTGTTAGGCCTAACAAGGCAGCTACGAGGGCTATCCAGAAAGTAGATTACGTTTTGGAATAAAAAAAATAAACAAAGTATAGGAAACAAATTTTATTATATACAGATGAAAGCCACACTCAAATACTACTTTTCTACATAGTCACCATACAAATTAAGGCATTTATCGTAGCGATGTACGAGCTTGGAAAATTCCTTCGTCGAAAAATTCGGCCGCCTGCGCCTTCAACCACTTCGTTACCTCTTCTTGCAGCTGTGCGTCGTCATCAAAACGCTGCATAGCCAGCCACTTCTTCATTGCTGGGAATAGGTGGAAGTCGCTCGGTGCCAGGTCTCAAAGAAAGTTCCGTTATTGTGAAATTTCGATTTTCACGGACTTTAGCATCGACTTTTTCGAGAAGTTCGGCGGTCACTATGCTGGGTCTCCCACTTCGATCTTCGTCGTGAACATTGGTTCGGCCATTTTGAAATCTATGACCCACTGACCGCACTCCACCTTCAGTGATAATGTTGTCCCCATACACTTCACGAAGCTGCCGATAGATTTCTATCGGTTTACAGTTTTTTGCAGTCAGAAACCTTATTACTGAGCGCACCTCGCAGCTCGCGGGATTTTCAATTAACGCAGACATTTCAAACCGTCACAGTATCTGAACGGAGCACAGCACGAACTTCTCACTAGCACGGCTAGATGCAGACTGAGCTGCGCAACGCTCTGACCCCAAGATGGCCGCGCTAGCCCCGCCCCTAGCGGACACAGACGGAAACGTAATCTACTTCCTGGATGGCCCTCGTATTTAATCATGAGTAGAATATTGATTCAGCCATCCAAAAGACGCCAGAAGTGTGCCAAAATTACAAGAAAAACTGCAAGACATCTTCCCGATTGAAAACATCCAAATTCAGATAAAAAAAATAGTACCAATAAAGCAAGGTGGACTTGCAGTACATTGCACCTCACATGATGGTGTAGCTAAGCTAGACAGCCTCCTGAAACAGATGGAAAAAGCAACTGATCTAATACATACCAAGGTACCAAAGCTAAGAACCCCTAAGTGCACCATCCACCGACTGCCGCACTTGCAAAAGCTACGAACAGCAACATCTCCAATTTCAAGCCTCTGTTTAAGCTTAAGGACAAATAGAACACAATCAAATGGATTGTGGAATGTAAAACTGTTTCATTCCATAAATGTATGAAGTTACGAACCGTCCACTTTGGCTGGCACACCAGTTCAATTACAGAATTTATAGGTGCTCACAGATGTCATCACTGTCAAGTGTTTAGCCACTGCTCTAAGGATTGCACCTATCATCCACACTGCGCTTACTGCGGTGGCAAACACCAGGAAAGCGTATGTAAATCTAATAGCCCTAACTGCATAAACTGTGAAATAAACAATAAGCATTTCGGCACCAAATACTCATGTGACCATCCCACTTATGTCAACTACTGCGCATCCTACAAAGAAGAAGTTTTAAGAATCAAAAGCAGAACGCAATACAATGAGTAGTCAACCTCCAAGCAACGTTAATATCACAGAAAACCATCCCACTGCACTCCTCCATCAGTCTAATCGTCAAAATGGAATTAAAGCTCTGCATATCAACCTTCAGCGTTCAAAGATAGCCACCGATAAT